GTTATTTCATGATATTTTCTTGACTTTATGCTGACTTCAGATGGCAGTAAAAATAACCCAATACTTAATCCATCAATATTTAATCCATCAATATTTAATCCATCAATATTTAATCCATGTCCATGTCTGTTGATGTAGGAGCTGAGAGTCAGAGGCAGATTCAGCTGTCTAGAAATCCTCCTTACACTTTCTACTAGTGAGCTGGTAGTTGCCAATAAAGTTTGATTTGAATCAGTCCTGACCTGAGAGCCTCCAGATGACAGTGAGGGCTCCACAGGGCAGCAGAAAGCAGCTTCACTCCTGAATTCTGTAGGTCGTTGTTACTCAGGTCCAGTTCTTTGAGACTGGAGGACTGACAGCTAAGAACTGAGGACAGAACTTCACAGCTTCTCTCTGACAGGTTACAGCAGCTCAGTCTGGGAAGAGAAAACAGGAATACAATACTAGATGTTGTGATTCAAATTAAACACATTTCACAATGAACATGAGCCAACTTTCTTTTTGCCCTTAGAATAAAATTACCTTTTTTTTTTCCCAAGTAGGCAAMTTACACACCAAATGGTCCTGGTCTAAATTTGAGTTCCATCAGTCATTCAGTTTAATAAAACATCAGCTTTTTAAAAATAACTCCATTTCTAAATTGTTGGGAACAATAAGGTAGCTGTGGTGAAAATTTAGTTTGTTGAATTTAATAAATATTCAATTCCCTGCAAGCAGTTCCTCTGGGCAAAATAAGTTGCCACTGTCAATAGCAGGATAGTCAAACATTTTCACTATGTGATAGATAATTGACTGAATTGTGATTTAATCAATGCAATGCTGAGGTGGCTAAAGGCGCTGTTTTACTTGTGTCACGAGGCCAGTTAGAACTGATTTTTAAATCACATGAACTGTGATTTTCCAGTGTTCTACATTGATGTGTATTTGGGATTATGTAACTTGTAGGTGGGTTTAGAAAACAGTTAAAAGACTGCATGAAGCTTGAATTGGGCAGGGCAGTACTAAGAATGCTTGGAATCTGACGTATTGCTCCCCTTGCTGCAGCAAGCAATAAAATCTCAGGATTCAGAAAATCTGTCTCAACAGTCTTTGTTAAAAGGGATTRCATTTCGGCTTGCTATTTCACATTGTTCTGTTCATATCTGAACTGTTATATACAGTATGTTTAGTTAGAACCAGAGTCTGTTCCTTGCTGTTAGCAAAATTATATTTTTGTCATTGAATGTTTTTCTCACATAAATTCATTTAGTTTTTTTTTATAAATCGTCCGATAAAAACTTCTTCAATTGTATTAAACAACAAAACTCCTGACCTGAGAGTTTCCAGTTGACAGTGTGSCCCCCTCAGTCCAACAGAAAGCAGCTGGATTCCTGAATCATGCAGGTTGTTGTTACTCAGGTCCAGTTCTTTGAGACAGGACTGAGAGCCGAGAACTGAGGACAGAAACTCACCACTTCTGTCTGACAGGTTACAGTAACTTAGTCTGGGGAGACAAACAAACAAACAAACAAACAAACAAATGCATTTAAAACCAAAAATGTGTTTTCTAAGAACATGCAGTGTGAATGCTGACTGCTGAAAGACTTTGCTGAAATTGTCTAGAACAGAACCTCCATTGTTCCTCCTGAATCTGAGTGTGACAGCAGCACCTGCGGCCACACAATGAATAAAGGTTGTGGTTATTATTTTAGTATAGTATCTTCTGGGGTTTTGTTAGTAAATGCACAAACATTTCATTAATCTAAGTTAAATCATTTACAATTTAAGTATTTCTGTATTCTAATTTCACATTTTAATATCATTTGATATTGGCGTTAATTATTTGGAGCACACACATTTAGTTAACTTTCTTTATCAAATTTTGTAATGGTTTGTTATTTTTTATCTATCATGATTTAACTTTTGTTTCTTTGAGTTGCCAGTTCGTTTGGGGAGGCTGCTGAAGCTGTCCTGCCACTCAGTGTAAACAGACCCAGCTGCAACAGATCTAGAAGTCACAACTTCATTAGTTCACTCTATGTTGCATGTCAAAAGAGGGGAAAGTTAAACCTTGTATTTTTATTTCTGACATTTCCGTTAGTTAATTTTTGAGAATGTAAATGCTTATTTTCTTAGATTAAAGTTAAGTATTACTTTGATCAGTTTTTGTTGTTAGTTGTATTTGTAATTTAGCATATTTATTTTTGTTCCCACCCCCTTTGTGTCAGAATGGCCTGATCAGCCACTTTAAAAGTTCTCCTCACGTTTTAGTCAAGAAGGTCAGTTTTGCTTTAGTTCCCAAGTTTATACCTAAGTTTATTATGTTGACCTCTTTTATGGGCCCAAAGCTGCAGGTTTTTGAGTTTTTGTAAGTAAATTAGAACAATTTTTTAAATCCTCCGTGTCTCTCTCTTGTTGGCCTATGTGAACCTTCACACCGAGGTTCAACCATCAACCAGACCCTCTTCTCTAGCACCCCTAACTTACCAGGCAGGTTGAGAAGTTGGAATACCCTATATTGGCAACCCTTCCAGTCCCCTTTCTTGAAAATGGAAAGTACCATCCCAGTCTGCCAATCCAGGGGCACGTTCTCCTAACACCAACATTAGTATCATATGCTGCTGTGAAGTCTCAGACATCTGGGACATGAC